ATCTGAAAGTGCTCCCGGCTCCCTCAGCACTAGTGTTTCAACTGCACAGGGACCTAGAGATCTCCAGGTCAGGAGGCTGAAACATGAGGCCTTTCACCAGCACAGCAACCCCAGGGGTGGACCGGGCAGGTCTCATCCCCATTTTACAGAATGAGAAGCAGAGTGAGAGGCTGAATAACTTGCTCACGTCCACATGACTCACAGAGGTGGGGCTGAAGGCAATCCAGGACCTCAAACTTCTTTTTTTTTAAAAGATTTGTTTATACATAGAAGAGCTGGGGTGAAGGCCAGAGGTGTGGGGGGGTTGGGGTGGTGAAAGGATTCACCAGAGACAGAGTGGGGAGCAGAAAAGGCAGACTGACTGAAATACACTGCTGAGGGGAGCAGCAGGGAGACAGGAGAGGTCTGCTGTGCCATGTGGGTTGCTGCCTGGCCAGCCAGGGATTGAACTCATGCTGCAGAGGCTGTGGATAGCTTCATGGTGCTGTGCTTAACCCCTTGCGCCACCAGGGAGGCCCAGGACCTCAAACTACTTAATAGTAGTTCTGATTCCCCACATTTGTTTGCTGAGACAATTTCCAGTGAAAATATGCTCTTAATTACTTAAAAACAGAAATGCAGAACTAAATATATATTTTTAAGTATAAAGAAAAAAAAGACTGGAAGAATATATATTAAGATACTGAAATGATCTCCCCTGGACAGTAGGATTTTAGAGAATTTGGGTTTTTTTGTTTGTGTATTTTATACCTTCTGCACTGACTCCACATAAGAGACTAATATGTTATTAAAATATAAATCCAGGGCCTCCTTGGTGGCACAAGGGTTGAGACACAACCTATGAAGCTATCTGCACCCACTGCAGCACAAGTTCGATCCCCGGGCAGGGTGCTACCCACATGGTGCAGCAGACCTCTCCTGACTTACCCGCTGCTCCCCTCAGCATGTATTTCAGTCAATCTGCCTGCTCTGTTCCCCGCTCTGTCTCTGGTGAATCTTCTCACCCCCTGCACCTCAGGCCTGTACCCCAGCTCTTGTATGCATAAATAAATAAATCTTCTTAAAAATATATAAACACATTGTGAAAATAGTATAATAAAGAAAAAATAAACCTGAGAACTTAAAAAAACCAAAAGATTAAATGGAAAACATTTTCTAAAATCTAAGTTTGACTCTGATACTAGATTCCCACAGTAACAACCTAATCAAGCCACAAATGCCTTATAACAGTAATAAACAATAGGGGTTCACTTTTTTCTAGTCATCCATATATAAAAGAAACTTAGTGACAAAAATTTTCAATCACCCAGGGTGTAAATAATTCCCTACCTATAAAGTTTGCTTATTGTATTGTGTGGAAAAGAAAAGTATAAATAGGTTTCCCTATTTATTTCCTCCCTTAAGGTGTTAGAACATAATATTTACAGTAAGAAATCATTCTAAGGGGGCCTCCCTGGTGGCGCAAGGGGTTAAGCACCGCACTATGAAGCAATCCGCAGCCTCTGCAGCACAAGTTCGATCCCCGGCCAGCCAGAGAGCAGCCCACATAGTGAAGCAGACCTCTCCTGACTCACCCGCTGCTCCCAAGCAGTGTATATCAGTCAATCTGCCTGTTCTGTTCCCTACTCTGACGCTGGTGGATCCTCTCACTGCCCGCACCTCGGGCCTGTACCCCCATTCTTGTGTGCATAAATAAATAAATATTTAAAAGAAAAAAAGAAATCATTCTAAGGAGTAAATCTGTTAAAAAGAGAAAACTGAAGGTCAGAAGATTTGATTTAAACATTTTTAGGAAAAATATCACTAATATATCTTATCTTTCCTAGAAAAGGAGAGGAAAAATATGTCAAGTATCTCAGGGTATTAACTAGGGGTTTATAGTTATGGGGGGGAAATCTCATAAAGTTGCCTTCCCTTTATACATCAAACCCAAATTTTGGATGATTTGCACATCCTGAACATCTGGATCTTCAGGCCCTTCAGAGAAGATAGAGTAAATTAAGGACTCGGCAATTTTAAGCATAAAAAATAGAGCTAAAACTGGGATCTAATCCAAGCTATACTTAGACATAAGAAGGAAAAGTATAGAAATACCAAACGACTAGTCAGAAGGATGTTCAACCTTATGCTTATATAAAACACTAGGGCAGGAAAGCATCGGCCTATAATCTCATTCAGATTCCTGAGAAGAGGTACAGGAAACACATTTCCCCAGGGAAAGAGACACCAGAAAGGGCTCCTAATAGGGATTCTGTGATAGAACTGCTTCCTCTGTTCAAAGATTCAGCAAGAACCACAAGAAGACAATTAAAAAAACAGACCCACCCATTGAGTTAGTGCCGGTGGAATCTGTCCTTCTGGAAGTGCCAGATGGAGATTAAAAAAAAATAAATAAAGCTCTCCATCACTGTGGCCAAGATTCCTTGGTACTCGATGCCAGGGCCAGGACATTAACTCACATGTCCTAGCCAAATTCAAGGTTGGTTAATTACAGCCTGCCAACTTCCCCCTCCACCACCCTCCATCCCCCAAAAAAGGCCTCTTCTGGTCCCGACTGAAATCTGAAGGGGTCACTCTTCCTTGAAATTCTTGTCTACTACCATCTGTCAATATGTTTTCCCTTAGAAGTACACTGGGACTCAAATGCTAATCTAAAGCATATGGATTCTTTAAGCTCTATCTACATGGGAAGCATACACTGTGTTTATTAAAAATATATAAGATGCTGTAATAGCTGAAAGCCTCTCTAAAGAGTTCTCTAAAAAATTCATAGACAGGGTAATATGGACACTGATTTCCAACTAATACTGAAGAGATGTATATAAAGGTTTGTATTCAACACAGATTTTGAACCATGAGATTTTTAAGACTAAAAAGGAAGGCTTTACTGCTAGGAGCACAATTCCAGGAAGCAGCTATATCTGCAAATGCCAGCGACATGGCCTCCCAGGGCCGAGCAAAGACCCTACAGATAGAAAAGCATACACTAAATAGCAAGTCTGGACATCCATTGGCCCAGCCTTTGCGCCAGCCCTTTACATAAGATTTCATGGCCAACATTCTCTGGGCATGACCTAGAATCAAATATACTAGAGTTCATATTTCTGTATTCATCGGTTGTGTGGCCTTTCGGCAACTAATGAAATTCTTGGAGCCTCAGCCTTGCTCCCACCCCTTCCCACCCCCATCTTCAATGTTTTCTTCATCAAAATCACTAATAACATGCTCTAAAGTGGTTCTGTGTATTTCACCGTTTTAAGATATTTTAAGTATGTCTTTCAAGGAATGTGACCTGTCTGTCCTGGGTGACCTGCCCCTCCTACCCCGCCCCTCTGGAGATGTACATTCCCTCAATTGCTCTTGATTATGCAAAAGTCACACACTGGGAAGACTTCTTCTGCCAACCTTTTTAAATTTCCCACTATAACTCTTGACCCCAAAACTTCATATTCCCCTTCCCTATTTTTTTTTCTTACTATATATCACTTTCCAACACAAAGTAAATTTTGTTAATTTATGTACTGTCTGCCTCCCTTCGAGACAGCAGGGATTTCGCTCTGTTTTATTCACTGCTGTATATAGACCAGCACCCAGAAGAGCGCTTGGCACACAGTAGGCGGTCAGTAAATATTTGCTGAATGAATACTGAATACCAAATAAGGCCTAATGATGGCTCCTAATGCACAGAGGGATACACCAGACCCCACAAGCTGCCTGTGGTGAGAATATCATAACACTTCAAAAATAACATCCGGGAGAAACCACAGACTTGCCATAACTTGCCATAACAATATCCATTCTTTAAATCAAAGAAGAACACACTTGATCTCCCACCTCATTTGTACAAGGAAGGGAGGAAAGAAGCTGATAATTCCAGTAAATTGGAAAGTTAAATGAGGTGAAGAGTCTCACTTTAGTTAACATTGTACAAACTTTTCTTTTAATACTAACAAATATTAAGCTACCTTCCTGTGACTTTACTATATTACCTTCTGCTTTTTTGTTTAGCCCGGACTTCAATGAAACCGAGTTTTGACACTTACGGACATCATATTTTCAATTGACTAAATATGTACTAAGTATAAGGGACACTCCTACAGAGAACACTACAAAGTGAAATACAAGGTTCTTACCATACGCATTGCCAGAGTACACAGACACACACAAATATATATAAACAGGGAAGACCAGAAGTGTATCTGCAAATAATAAATGAATACCAGACAACCAACATGTGACCAATTCAACAGTGCCTACATTTCTTTGTATGGGGCACTACAAGAGGGCCAATTCATCTCTTTACACCATCCACTGGGTTTAGAATCCCAACAGAAACAGTACTTAAAAAGCAAGAGTCAAACGTTAGCAGGTTAAGTTCACATACTGTTATGGGCCACACGGGATGCAACAGAATCAACGGGAAACAACCTTTAACATACAGAAGGGCACCAAATTCTAAATGACACTGTGCTCAGTGCATGTGGGAGCTTAAGCAACTGCTAGAAAAGCAGGGATGGGCTGGCACTTCATCTGCAGACAGACAGAACATCCATGCGGGTTCCACCCAGTTCAGTTTCTTGCCCCTTTGCCCTAGGCCTCCTGGGAAGCCAACATGAACACGATCACTTTCTCTCTGGAACCTCAAAAACCAGGCACCAACCCCTGGCAACCAATCACCTTCTTCCTTTGCTCCAATAAAAGTCAGCTTGCTTCCTGCCAGAAGCTGACCTTATAAATTAATAACTAAGCACCTGAAGTCCTAATACCTGAGTTCAGGCCCTGACAGCAGCACATACAGGCTGTGTGACCCTGGACAAGGAACTTGCCTTTGCCCCACCTCCCCTGTAAAACGGGGTAATGACAGCACCCTCGCTGGGGTAGGCTGATCGGTGAGATAAAATACACACAAACTTGCCGACAGCCTGACCACAAGAAGCTGCCATTAATGTTGTTCTTTCCAGAGGAAAAAACACCCCAAGGCCCAGGCGCCAGATTCTTACCAAAGGTTATCATTAAAGCCGAAAGTCCAAGACACACACGCTGGTGGGAACCGCAGGTCACGGCGACAGCAGCGACGCAGTCGGTCGGCCGGAGGGATCCCCTTCAGGGCAGCGCCCCGGGTCCTCGCGGGGCGCCTGGGCTGGGCGTCCTACCCGAGACAGGGGGGAGGCGAGGTTGCCCGATCAAAAAGATTTTTTCCAACAGCAGAATTTTCTCCACCCTCCTTTTTAAAAGCGGTAATTGCAGCCCAAGTTTTACTAAAAACAGGTATCTCCGCCGATGGCAGAACCGAACGTGCAATTTCCCCCGCCGAAGAGGGGGGGCCGGCGGGGGGGCGCGCGCGCTGCCAGATGGAAAAGCCCCGTGAAGTGGAGCGACAGCCGCGTCCGGGGCTGACCCCCAAACCGAAATCGGGGTGTTGAGGCCCGGGACGTCCCCATCGGGGGAACCCGAAGCCTCTGCCTTCAAAGCGGCCTCGGCACGGGTGTCAACCGCCTGCGCGGCCCCCCCAGCCCCCCTCCCCGGCGGAGGCTCGGTCACGCGGCGGCGGAGCCGTTCCAGAGCCCCGGCCCCCGGCCCCCGCTTCTCCCCGATCCCGGCCGGCGCGGGCGGGGCCGCAGCTCGGCTGCCCAGGCCCCAGGCCCGGCCGCGGGCGCGAGGAGGCCCCGGCCCGGCGCCCCCGCTTCCGGCGCGCGCCCCGGGCAACAGGTCGGCCCGGCCGGGCGGCGGGGCTCCGCGGCCGCACCTCGCAGGGCCGGGCCGGCCGAGGCCGCGGCGGGCGCGGGGCGCGGGCCCGGGAGCCCGAGCTCCATCCCGGGGCGGCGGCGGGGCGGGGGCGGCGCGGCGCTGTCAGGCGGCCCCTGTCCGGCTCCGGGGCCCCCCGGGACTCCCGCCCCCCGGGCGCCCCCCGGGCGCCCGAGCCCCCGGGCGCGGGCCCCGCGCGGGCCCCGGCGCGCCCCGGACGCCGCCGACCCCGCGGAGGGCGAGCCCCGGCGGCCCGAGCGCCAGCGGCCGGGGAGGGCCGGGCCCCGCTCACCCCGCCGGTCGCGTCGCCGCCACCTGCCCCTGCAGCAGCCGCGGCCGCTCCCGCCGCCGGCGCGTCGGGCGGGGCGGGGAGCGCGTGACGCCGCCCGAGGACGCTCCTCCCGCCCCCGCGCGCCCCGCCCCCCGCGCGCCCCGCCCGCGCCCCGCCCGCGCCCGGCCCCGCGCCGCGCCCCGCGCCCGCGCCCCGCCCGCGCCCCGCGCCGCCGCCGCTTTGTCTCCCCGCGCCCCGGCTTGGGGGGCTGCGCGGCGACGCCCCAGCGGCCGGGCCCGGGCTGCGCGGCTGGATCCCGCGGGCCCCGAGCGCGCGCCCCGAATCTGCAAGTCACCCCGGAGAGCCCGCTCCGCCGGACGCCGGCGCTGGCGGGGGCTGGTCCCGCCTCTCCGCCCCCTTCGCGCCGGACCCTCGGGGAGAGACCCCGAGACGCCGGGCGAGGAGCGGCCCGCCCGCCGCGGGCCTCGCCGCCGCGCCCCGCCCGCCCCGGGGGGCCCCGCGAGGACCCGGGGCGCGGGGCGCGAGCTGCCTGCGCCGGTGCAGCCCCGAGGACCAGCTCTGCCCCCCGCCCTTCCCCTCCGGGCAGGGACCGCGGGGGAACAATCCTGGGAGCGAGCGCTCGCCCCGTGGGTCGGAGAAAAGCCCCTTTTATTCTGCCCAGCCGCTTGGACGCAGGCCCTCGCGACGCCCCGTCCTCCCTCCCCCTGGAGAAGGGGTCCCCTCAAAGGCTTTTGAAAGGGACCGGCGGGGAGGCAGCCGCAGCCTGCTCGGGGCCGGCGCAGCAGCGGGCGGCCGGCATTTCGCTCCCATGGACCATGGCAACCCCAGCCGCGCGCAGCGCCCGGGAGGAATTTGCAGCTGTCAGGGAAGCCCGGGAGCAGGGGCCCTGAGGCTGCCTTCTCCGCCCCGTTGCAAGAGAATCGTCTGGAGCGTGACCCTCTCCTTGACCCTTATTCAGAGCACCGGGCTGCCGGCACCGACAGGCGTGCGCAAAGCGGGGGGTGGGGGTGGGGTGGGGTGGGGTGGGGTGGGGTCGGGGGAGCGACCCTGGAAATGCGCAGAGTCTGAACAAAGTACATGCATCTGCGGGCCCTTCCCCTCGAGTCACAGTTTAAATCGCAAGATTCAATTTCCTGATTCAACATTGACCTCATCTGCCAAGTGCCAGGTCCCAGTGGTGCGGCATCCCTCAAACCAGCATCCACCTTCCGAATCTGAAAGGCACCCTCACCCCCTCGTCGAAACACTTCGTTTCTAACAAGCCACCCAAGTCATCCCCGCGCCGCGCAGGACACAGACCACGGTGGGTGCAGCTAGAAAGCACTTGAATTTCCTCTTTTCTCTTCTACTCATTCTGCTGAGACGGTCTTTGTTTTAAAGTGCTGATAATTTCTCCATCAGGGAATTTTTGCTGTCATTTTGAATTTTTAAAAGATACTGCATTAAAATATTGTTTCTTTCGACTCCTGGGTTTTGAGCACCCCCTTAAATGTTGTGACCCAGGCCTGGTCCCACGCATAGAGTGGCCAGTGTTTGGTCCTACATAAAAATAAAGGTTCTCATCCCATTTTCAGATGGAGTCTCCACACCGCAAGTACATTTTTAGAGACTTGGAATTTCCTACCAGAAGAACAAAAAAATGAGTGGTTCCTGGGGAACACGGGGTGGGAGGTAGGAAAATGTTGCTTTTGATGAAGGACAAGAATAGAAAGACTGGAAAGGAGATGCCCCAAGACCAGAACCTGACTCACAAGGAGGTGGGTGGGGGTGGAGGGGAATAACATGACTGTTGACCCAGCTGGAGAGGTCGTGACCTTCAGACACCAGGGCCTTATCACAAGGCCTGAGACCCAAGCAGGATCCGATGCTACAGGGAGTGGAGCACTGACCTGAGGGGAAAGATAGGGAGATTGGGCTCACCCTGGAATCGCTGGTCCCTTCCTGGTTTTGCCAAGTTATCCCAAATCAGCAACAAGCAGGCCACTCCACGGAGGAGTGAGCCCTCCCAAACAGAAGAGGCCTATATCAGTGCAGTCTCTACAGTAGCTCAGGGCAGCTCTCCCACTGCCCACCTGTTGTTATAGGACAGGGAGAGGGGCAGCCCAAACCCCGCAAACCTGCCTGTTCTAAATGGGTTCTGCCATCCGCCGCATCAACACAAAACATAGGAGACTTTAATGGGAAGGAACTTTAATACAACTAGGAAACAATACAGGTGAGGCAAAGAGTCTAGTTTCTAAATGAAGCACCCAAAGTGACCCATCCCCTCGTGGGTAAAACTCCATCCATATGGGGTCGGCCCAGAGCAAGGCCCCAAAGCCTGCCACAAGTCTAAAGCATCTTCCAGTGGGGACCCACAGAAAAGGGTCACAAACAACCGGACAAGCCCGGAAGGAAAAGAGCAAAATCAACATCAAGATAAAAGCTGCCATTGTCACCTCCCCCCGGGTCTCACCCACATCTGTGTCACCCAGTCCACGACCAAAAGACAAGCGCAGTTTCTTCACATGTCTCTAGGCTTCATGCGCCTCCTCCAGGTCTCCTGGCTCCATCCTGCTCCTTCCTCCTTCTCTTCTTCTGCTTCTCCTCTTCCTGCTCAGCTACACCCTCCCTTGGGTGGGGCAGGAAACCTGGAACTTCCCCCTTTCCTGGGGACCACCCTGTTACACTGTGACTACACAGGTGCCTCTTCACCCACTCTCTCCCTCTGCAGGGCAGCAGCTCCTGCCTGCCGGTGACCTGTACCTGCCGGGACTTCTCTTCGCTGACCTCCCTCAGCGGAGGCAGCTCGCCTCAAGGTCGCCCTCCTGCAACCATGCAGGCCTCTCTCAGCAAACCTGTCCCTTTCCCTAATAAACCTGGTCTTAACATATAACTCATGTCTCTGTCTTGTGGAGAAACTTGCCTGGGAAACTCTCCGCTGAAATGGGAGCTCTGGTGACACCTTTCCCAGAGTGACCCCAAGGACCCCGCACTCACTCCAAAAACATCATCACTTTTATTATCAAACCTGACGTACTTTACTTTAAAAAACCTTGTGCATGAGTTGCTTTGATTTTTTCTTTTTAAGGTACTTAAGGTCCTCCAATAAAATGGGGAGAGACCATTCTCTGCAAGTGGTAGATGTTCTAGATGGTCTCTACACAGCTCTTCTTCTTTGGACCAAACCAAACTTCTTTCAGACTTTTCTGCTGTATTACAGGTTTGTTGTTTTTTAACGCAGCTCCCACCACCAGAGTAAGTCCCAGCAGAGCAAAGGTTATTGACTTTTATTTATTGCTCTATCCACATCCCCAGAATCATCATCATCATCATCATCATCATCATCCCGGTAAATTGGTTTAAAAAAAGATGGGAGGGCCTCCCCGGTGGTGCAGCGGTTGAGCGCTGGGTTGCGAACCTGTCTGCAGCCTCTGTAGCGCCGGTTCGATCCCCGGCTGCTCCCTGGCCACCGAAGGAGGGTCCCACATGGCCCGCAGACCTCTCCTGCCGCCCGCTGCTCCCCTCAGCAGTGTGCTTCGGTCCTTCTGCCTGCTCTGCTCCCCGCTCTGGCTCTGGTGAATTCTCTCACCCTCCCGCACTTCTGACTGTACCCAGTGCTTGTATAAATAAATAAACAAATAAATCTTAAAAAAAAAAGAAAGAAATTATACTTTAAAAAAATAAAATAAAATAAAATAAATAAAAATTTAAAAAGATGGGAAAAAAAAGATGGACTATTTCAGGTTCTAAATAGCTGTGTTTTCCCCCCTGTATTTTGTCCTTTTTTTAAAAAAAGATTTATTTATTTATGCATACAACAGCTGGGGTGTAGGCCAGAGGGGTGGGGGCTAAGAGGATTCACCAGAGACAGAGTGGGGAGCAGAACAGGAGGATCTAATGAAATACACTGCTGAGAGGAGCAGCGGGGAGACAGGAGAGGTCTGCTGTGCCATGTGGGCAGCTCCCTGGCCAGCTGGCTGGGGGATAGAACTTGTGCTGCAGTGCCTGGCAATAGCTTAATAACGCTGTCTTTAACACCTCCACCACCAGGGAGGTCCCAATATTTAAGAAGCTTTAAAAAAGAAAATGAGGGCCTCCCCGGTGGCGCAGCGGTTGAGCGCTGGGTTGCAAAGCTGCCCGTGGCCTCTGCAGCGCCGGTTTGATCCCCAGCTGCTCCCCGGCCACCAGAGGAGGGTCCCACATGGCGCGCAGACCTCTCCTGCCGCCCACTGCTCCCCTCAGCAGTGTACTTCGGTCCTTCTGCAACAGGGTGGTCCCCAGGAAAGGGGGAGGTTCCCTGCCCCACCCAAGGGAGGGTGGAGCTGAGCAGCAAGAGAAGAAGCTGCAGAAAGAGACTGAGGAAGGAAGCAGGATGGAGCAAGGAGACCTGGAGGAGGCACATGGAGCCTAGAGACATGTGAAGAAACTGCGCTTGTCTTT